CAGGGCTGAACGTTGCCTGGTACAGGGCAAAACAGGGCTGAACGTTGCCTGGTACAGGGCAAAATGTTACCTGGTATAGGGCAAAGCACCAAACAGGGCGACCTGGTACAGGGCAAAGCATCACCTGATACAGGGCTGAATGTTGCCTGGTACAGGGTAAAGTGTTACCTGGTACAGGGCAAAGCATCACCTGATACAGGGCTGAATGTTGCCTGGTACAGGGTAAAGTGTTACCTGGTACAGGGCAAAGCATCACCTGATACAGGGCTGAATGTTGCCTGGTACAGGGTAAAGTGTTACCTGGTACAGGGCAAAGCATCACCTGATACAGGGCTGAATGTTGCCTGGTACAGGGTAAAGTGTTACCTGGTACAGGGCAAAGCATCACCTGATACAGGGCTGAATGTTGCCTGGTACAGGGTAAAGTGTTACCTGGTACAGGGCAAAGCATCACCTGATACAGGGCTGAATGTTGCCTGGTACAGGGTAAAGTGTTACCTGGTACAGGGCAAAGCATCACCTGATACAGGGCTGAATGTTGCCTGGTACAGGGAAAAGTGTTACCTGGTATAGGGCAAAGCACCACCTGGACCAGGGCGAAGTGGCATCTAGTACAGGGCAAAGTGTTACCTGGTACAGGGCTAAGCATCACCTGGTACAGGGCTGAACATTGCCTGGTACAGGGCAAAGTGTTACCTGATATAGGGCAAAGCACCACCTGGTACAGGGCTGAGTGTCATCTGGTACAGGGCAAAGCATCACCTGATACAGGGCTGAATGTTGCCTGGTACAGGGCAAAGTGTTACCTGGTACAGGGCTGAGCATTGGTACAGGGCTGAGCATCACCTGGTACAGGGTGGAGCATTGGTACAGGGCAAAGTGGCACCTGGTATAGGGCAAAGCATCAACCTGTACAGGGTGAAGCATCACCTGGTATAGGGCAAAGTGTGACCTGGCATGGGATGGAGCATTGGTACAGGGCTGAGCATCATTTACTGTGGGGCTGAGCATCACCTGGTACAGGGCTGAGCAGCACATGGTATGGATTGGGCACTAGTACAGGGCTGAGTGTCACCTGGCACGGAGCAAAACGTCACCTGATACAGGGCTGAGCATTACCTGGTACAGGGCAAAGTGTCACCTGGTACAGGGTGGAGCATCACCTGGTACAGGGCAAAATGTCACCTGGAACAGGGCTGAGCATCACCCAGTACAGGGTGGAGCACTGGTCCAGGGCTGAGAGTCACCTGGTACAAGGTTGGGCATTGGCAGAGGGTCAAGCATCACTTGGTACAGGGTGGGGCATTGCCTGGCATGGGGTTGGGTGTTGGTACAGGACTGAGCATCACACCTGGTACAAGGTTGGGCATTGGTAGAGGGTCAAGCATCACTACAGGGTTGAGCATCACCTGGCATGAGGTCAAGCATCCTCCAATAGAGGGCTGAGCAGCAGTAAAGTATCACCTGGCATGGGGCTGAGCACCACCCAGTCCAGGGCTGAGCATGGGTACAGGACTCAGCATGGGTCACACATTGCCTGGTATGGGGTCTGAGCAGAGTTATGAGATCACACATTGCCTGGCACAGGGTCTGAGCACGGGTTGGGGTCACATATTGCCCAGTACAGGCTCTGAGCAAGGGTAAGGGTCACATATTGCCCAGTACAGGCTCTGAGCATGGGTTGGGGTCACATAATGCCCAGTACAGGCTCTGAGCAGGGCTGGGGGTCACATATTGCCCAGGACAGGCTCTGAGCATGGGTTGGGGTCACATATTGCCCAGTACAGGCTCTGAGCAAGGGTAAGGGTCACATATTGCCCAGTACAGGCTCTGAGCATGGGTTGGGGTCACATATTGCCCAGTACAGGCTCTGAGCAGGGCTATGGGGTCACACATATTGCCCAGGACAGTCTCTGAGCAGGGCTGTAGGATCACACACTGCCTGGTGCAGGCCCTGAGCAGTGCTATGGGGTCACATATTGCCCATCCCATGCCCAGCTGGGTCCTGGCAGGGCTGGCCCAGCCACAGCTCCCCAGAGCCAGGGCAGGGCAGTGGCAGCAGCTGGGCCAGGGGCCAACATGCCCACGTGAGCCACACAGGCTCCTCTTCCTGGAGGAAAAACCCAGGTACAAAGCACCTGGAGCAGCCTCCTGCCCTCGCAGGGGATTTGGGAGACCCTTCCCAAGCAGATCCAGCCTCATCCCTCTCTGCTCTGCTGTCTGGAACACACAGACCCCTGCACAGCTTCATTCACCCACAGGGGCCTGAATTCCTGAACCTCCAGGGAAGGATCAAAGCCCCAAGGTCATTCCCTCACCTCTCTGAGAGGGGCCTGGCTTAGAGCCCACAGCAGCCCAACTTTTTTTCAAGTTAAAAGTGTATTCTTTTTATAAACCCTCTGTCTTTTCTTCGGTAGCTTATCAGAGCAGCCACTGCTCCTCCCTCTGTGACCGCAGAGGAACCAGGAAGCTGAAGGGAGCAAAAATCGCTGTGACCTGAAAGGTTCCAGTCCCCACCTGGCCAGGGGGTGGCAGGGAACACCCAGCTCAAACAGCTCCAGCTCCTCCTTCCAAAGAGGAGGTGCCAGTCCCCACCTGCTCCCCCTGCCCAGACTTCCCAGTGCCCCACCACACAGGGAACAGGGAAGGGATTTGTTTTCCAGCAATGCAGCTGGGGTGAGGATGGGGAAGGAGAGCACAGGGGAAGGAATGCAAAGGAGTAATAAAATCAGGGGGAAATGGAGCTCAGGAATCGAGCACAACATAAGACAAGGCCAAGAGCAGCTCCATGTCCCCATCCAGGCTTCTCCATGCTGTGGGAAGAAGCAGGAGGATGTATTCTGGCTGGAATCACAGAATTTTTGA